ACCGTACTTATTTGGGAACTATTGTAATAACTTCTGACAGCTGTGGTGGGCCAGTCTCAGTTCTTTCAGTTAAAAGCATCTATCGGAAATAAACATTACCATAGGCGACAAAAACCCATGGACGATAAAAAACTCAGGGAAAATGTGCAAAAAACACACCTTCGTACTGGCAGCCGGTGTGCTCTCGATTAAATTTGTTATAGCCACACAACAAACAAAAAAAAATCTTGTATAATTGCTGCAGTTTTTGATTAGTAGGTTGCAGGAAGAGTTACCGTTGAAGTTCTTGATTTTTAGATCTTCAAGACGTCATCGTGATGATCGCGATCGGGATCGTGATTCGGATAGATATCGTGAGAAGGAGCGTGACCGAGAATCACGCTCCAGACGTCATCGTTCACGTAGCAGTTCTCCGTATGAAAGTAATTGTTTTTCAAAATTGGCCAGCAATATATGTTTTATTTTGATTGCAAAAATTGGTTTTTGTTGTTTCTTTTTTGGCTTCAAATAATTTTACCTGAGACAGAGTATATGGCCTAGCATAGTTGCGCCTGGCATCTGAGTGCAGTCAGACTAACAACACTTGCATGCGATACCCACAGCGAGCGATTATTCAAACGATTATCTTGGTTCTGGATTCAGTCCTCAATTTAGTTGAAAGAGTTTTCAAAACAGTGTTTTCGATAGTACATTTTATTTCATCTTCATAGAGCTGCTCACAGTCGTCGTTGAGATTATTATCACCAACAAAAAAAATTTTTTTTTATTAGACAATTTAGGGAAAAAAAATTTTTTTCGGGGATTCATAAGGCATTCTTTCATTCATAACAGGATTTTGTTTTAGCCCTCTAGCCAACTGAAAAGTTTGCCCAGTAACAGTCGTTCGTTGTTTAGGTTCACGGAGTTCACGAAGAAAGGAAGATCGGGACAGGGACAGAGAAAAGAGGCGCAGGAAAGAGGATTCGGGAACCCGAATAAAGGAAGAAATTGTTGATGATAAAGAAAGTGATAAAAAGGAAGAACGAGCTGATCGAGAAAAAGACCGAGAGAAGGACAGGGAAAGGAAAAGAAGGTAAGAAATTTGATGTGAACTGCTTAATTTCGGGCTTTCTTGAATTTCTGATCATGTTGAAATCGAGTGATTATCGTCTGGGACTGATAAGTAACGTTTTTTAGTGTTCCTGAAGCTGTATTGCATATTCGTCGATTCTGATCTGCCAGGTTTCCACTTGTGACGATTTGGTGTTAAGGCATTTTGGCAGCTCTGAATGCAACCTTTTTGCAGCGCCCCTGCTTTTTATGTAAATTATTATTTACCTGTTGTTTGTGGTACAGTTTTGCGGACCTTTCCCTCCGTTTTATGCTCCCATTAATCATTTTTCTTGCTTTGTTCTTTTTGCCCGGAAACCCTTTGTTAATGGGGTAAACTTCCCCGAAGTCTAAGGGCGCAGCTGTTGTTGTTCTCATCTTTTGATATGGCGGAAAAACCGGTCTAGGCACGCTCCATTTTTAGCCGCATAAAAAGGGGGCAGTTCCTCCATTTAGGATCGACTTCTTCTCCACATTAACTTCTACAAAGTTTCGAAATTTACGCGTAAATAATTGATTTCATAATACAATTGTATATAAAATTCTGTCAAACACACGTATCCTAGCAATCCACTAAACTACGCCAAGACACAAGACCACAGAAATCGCGCATTACATTTACTGGTAGCAGCGATTGGTTTCTTGCATTGTCCTTAGCAATTATTGTTGGAGAAAAAACCAAAAATAAAAGGAAAATCAAAAATAAAAGGGAAATTCTCGATTTTTATGTAAATTATATGATTTGAGAATTATGGATTATCTGGACGGCGATAATGAGTACCATTTAGTTTAAATAGGGCTAAAACTTTTGCTGTAAGGAAAAATATGAAAAATTCCTGAACGAAAAAGTTGTAAAAAACACACATAGATGAATTTGACGGCACCATCTCAAATTTCTTAGGTCAACTTTCATTCTTAGCTTCAACTTCCATTCCTTTTCGGTTTTCGAAAATTCTCCCTCCACCGACAGGAAATTGTGGATCCAAATGCCGCTTGGCGGAGTATTTTGACACGGTATCCTAGTATCTCAGTTTTATTCTATGTGTCCCAACACTGAGTGCCTGTACGAGTATTGGTGACCACATTGCTTCACCCTGATCAGCTCTTGTTTCAGGCGTCACAGAAGCGATGATGAAAGTCCGGAGAAACGCGACAAAGAAAAGGACAAGGAGAAGAAAAAGATCAAGATCAAAGAGGAGCCGTCAACTTAAATTGAAATTAGTTTTTTTTTTCTTTTTCAGCATTTTTTATTATCGTTGTACCCATAATTGGAGAGTTTTTTTTTTCCTCCTCTGAAGCCTGAAGTGATATAATCACTACAACAGTTGCTGGAATCATGTTTTTGACTGATCATATATTAATACGTTGTTTTTCGCTCATCCAGTCTCCTGCACATCACTATTCAGTGAATCTGCAGTACATGTATGACAGTATTAAATGTAGTTTTTTTTTTGGTATGGTTCATGCAAAAAATGTAGTTTTTTTTTTGCACGGTTTATACCTGAATTCACAACACATATAGTCTCTTCCCTCTTCTTTCCCCCACGCACACTTTATGTAGCACACCTCTACTTCCTCCAGAGGCATTACCAGCGATTTGAGTAAGAGAAATGACCGTTAGCACCTTCGTAAACCAGTAAGTTTCTGATTATTTTTACATGAGCTTTTCCGTCCCTGCAAAATTTTGAGGCCTGAGTAGGTTGCATCTGTCCTGAGCTTGTGCTTGCCCAAATTTCAGGGAGCTTTCAATAAATTGGGTTTTAAAACCTAGCCTCAGATTTTTTCCAAATCTTTGGCCCTGTGCGGGATTGATACCCCTGGAACGAGCTGACGACAAGTTTATCAGTTATGTCCACTTGTTTCCTGTGTCAAATAAAGCCCGTGCGGTAAAAATCACTTTGATTCGAGACGGAGCATTGATACTTTTTTTTAATAAAAATTCCCTGAAATTCCTCCGTATGAAGAAAATTGTGAGAACGCGATTCATGGAAAAGTTCGTTCTTGACGAATGAATACGGCAAGCTGCTGAATAGTCTGACGATTATGCCTT